ATAAAAAGAATTTAGGGATTTTCTTAAACATAAAATTTGTTTTCAATTGTTAGGCGAGTGAATGTTTGAAAGGGGGAACAGTTGATAACTGAAACACTTTTTTATACGATGATACGATGAACAATAACGATATAAAGCGAGTTTTTAAAGTTGGCTTAACGAGACAAGCAAAGCAAGTTAACAGCCGAGCAAAGCAGCAAATAGCCCAAAAGCCGTCACTCACATTAATAAAACACAAGCAAGTGAAATACTAAAAAAAAATACTAAACGAATAACGATCCAACAATGGTATTCAGATGAAACTCTAAGCAGCACGCCAGAAAGTGAAGAATTCTTAAAATTTAAACCTTAATTATAAACCAAAAATAACAGTTTTAACAAAATGAAAAACAAAAAATGGGGGTTAATTTTGTTTCAAATGGTTTTTGTTAACAGAAAAGAATGAAAAAATTTGGACGCAAAACTCAAGTCAGCAGCAGCAAATACAACGGAATGAATTGGAAATGAAACAGTAACAATACAAATAAAAAGAAGAAGACGAAATAACGTACATAACTGGACAAGGTCAAAGTTAGAACAGGTTAGAACAGTACCAAACCGAACCGAACAGAACCGTTATAAACTACTCGGATACGACACAACTGTACTAAAATGCACACAAACTAAAATATTGAAACGCATGGCATGAAACATGCACATAAACAACCGTTGCCCACACATGCAACAACGACAACAACAACAACAAGAACAAGAACAACAATATGACTATTCAAACTATTAAATATGAAATGAAATGCAAGTGAAATAACTATGAAATACTATTAAACATATATATATTTTTAGCATATAAGAGCATACACAAGCGAAAAGTTAAAAAAAAAAACACATACGAGAAAAATATACCCTACATAACTGAAAACCAATTTTGTCAGCCGTAAGCTTTTACATGTACTAAAAAAATTTAATGAAATATGGCAAAGAAAAACACTAAAAAAAAAAAACAAAAAAAAAACAATTCACATGCATACTATATATAGATATGATTATATATTGTACACACGTATATATACACACATATATGAAGCGAGCCCCAAGCTAAAATCTCTAAAAAAAAAAAAAACAAACAAAAAAAAAACAAAAACTTAAGAAAAAGATTGAATTAAAAAAAAGAAAAACTCAATCGAAACAGAAAAAAAAAAAAAAAATTTGGCATGCTTTTTTTAAACTTTTTGTGTAACTTCCATTTAAAGAATTGGCTCTATAATAGGCTTATTTAATATTTAGCAACAGCGCAGCACCAAACTCTAGAGTGCATCGAAACAAAAGTTTACGAAGAGAAAAACAAAAAAAAAAAAACAACAAAAAAATGGAAAAACGTCGGAAAAACCAGATTATTATTGAAATTTTTGTGTTTCGCTTATATATTTTCCCTTTGTATATTTCGCATTTTTTGAACACATTTCTATATAATGTATTTATATTGTGTTTTACTATTAAATTTTTTATTTTTTTTTTATTTGTAATAAATTCATGCGGTAATCAACTGGAGACTGAGCTACAACATATATTTAGTTACCGTTATGTTTATTGCATTTAAAAAAAGAAGAAATAAACTATAAATAAATGGCGATTGGCCAATTAGTTTGAGCATCAAAATACCCCGCATACACAAAGAGACACACACACACACAGACACACACACACACACACACAGACACACACACACACAGACACAAAACCAACAATTTATATACTTGCATATATATATATATATAAAAAACATACAATATGATAATTATATATATTTATATAAATGTGTATATATATCCAGAAATTTCATAAAATTATTACAAATTAATTGGTTTGCTCTATTCGTCTATATATATATTTATATATAAATATATATATTTATATTATTTTTTTTTGTGTTTAATGCAAATTCATTTATTAAATACGCCATTTTGTTGTGCATTTTACTGCATCCCCAAAAGAAAAAAACCTCAAAAAAAGCAAAACAATTAAGAAACAAATCCTGCGAACGGTTTGCCTGTGTGATAGTAGTTTATAATTAAAGCTGTTCGCAGGATCTTTCACCCATTCACAAACCCAAACAAGATATAGCATTTAAATGGCGAGATATCTGCAGAACCATAAATACATAGTTGCAAAATAGAACTATATATATATATATACATCTATATATATATGTATATGAAAATATAATAAAAATACAGATAACTTGAGGAGCAAAAAAAAAAAACACAAAAACAAATATAACACTATAATATTTTTATTTTTACTTTAATTATTTTTAAAGTACCTATCTATAGTTAAACGTTTTTTTTTCGTCGTCTACATATTATTTGTTAAGTTCATTAATCTACATAAATAATCTACACTAATGTAGACGACATAATGTATCTACATTGTACATTATATCTACATTATAGAGCTAAATATCTATAAATATTTTAAATATAACAAAACAAACACACAAAAAAAACAGTAAAATATTATTAAAAAAACCAAAAAAAAAAAAAAAAAGCAGCTTCCATTTTTTTTTTTATTTGAATATTGTTTACTTTTTCTTTAGTTGTGGTTCAGGTTTTGGGTTTTTGCTTGATTTTTATTTTAATTTCTATGAACGTTTTCCGTTTGTTTTCCGGCGTGTTCCATTCCGTTCGTTTTCAGCTCGTCGAACAACCGACCGACCTCCAAAGAAAAAATGATGCCAACAAAATGTGTGTTTAGGGCCAAACGCTTTCAATATGATGCATACATATATACATATGTATGTGTGTATGTATGTATGTATGTGCCCGTATGTATCTAATTATGTGTATGTACTGCTGTTCCAGAAAACCCAAATTCAAGTCCTCAATCTAAGGCAAACTTGTCTAAAATATTATGAATTTAGTACATGTGTAGTATGTGTATCTGCAAAGGCAAAAACTACAAATTAAACAAGAAAACAAACACAAAATACAAACACAGAAAACACAACCAAATGAAAACGAAACTAAACTTAAAGAAACCAAGAAAAAATGCGTGTAAGTACATTTATATAGACATTTATACGATACATACTAACTATACTAACTAAACTACACAAAAAAAAAAAAAAAGCGAAAGTAAAAATCTACAAAAACAAAAAAAAAAAACAAAAAGAAAAAAGAAAGAAAAAAAATTAAATGAATTAACTACCTCAGCTTTGAATATTTCTATAGAAATGTTATTAAATGTATTTGAATGGCAAAAATGAAAAACAAAACCGTAAAGGCATACAAGTTTTAGAGCTGCATTTATATACATACTAACTGGTAACAATACTATTTATACTAAGTGTACGTTTTGCATATTCCTATATAGCTAAATAAACATAAAGGCAAAATGGGTCACTAAGCAAAAACAAAATCTATGTATGAAGCAAATCAAAGGAAACCAACAAGGAATTCATATACTATACATACACACACTCACACACATATATATATATATATATATATATATATATATATATTGAAATTTAGAAAAACAAAAAACAAATAACAATAATTTTGCGTCCATTTTTGTTGTTTCCTATACAAAGAAAAATTCTATAAATGAAAAAAAGAAAGAGAAAAAAAAAAAAACAAAACAAAAACAAATCATATTTAATTACATATATAATTGTTTTAATTGTGAACGTAACCAAACTGCAAGTAAAGCCAGATCAAATGTTTTATGGATGATATACATATACATAACTACGTCTCTATTACTAACATATATCCACTCAATTGATGTTTGCAACTGTCATTTAAACCAGACGAAAACTAATAGGGAAAATAAACAAAGACACGCAAAAAATAATGATAATAATAATAATGAGAAAAACATAAATGCAAAAAGAAAGAAAAAAAAAAAATAACAACACTTAACCCATAAGAAAGCTTTCTCGGTGTCAGTTGTGTCATAGTTTAGATTCAAAGCTAACCAAATATTAACAAATATTGATAATGAAATTAATCGTTTATTTGCAAGATTTGCACGAATGTGCGAATGTGTGTGTCCAAGAAACATTTTCGAACCAGTCCCAAAGGTCTGCGTCTGCTTATAGTTATGGCAACAAGAAAAGAAATGTGCATTTCTGTATATTTCGTCAACTAAATATTTTTCCCTTTTCGGTGTGTAATTGATTGTTAAACACTAATACAAAACGTGAAAATCCAATACAAATACATACAAAACAACAAAATTTAACCAAACTACCTATGTACATACCTACATACATATATAAATTCAAGCATATGAGTAAACTAAAAAATGTACACCCACGATTACACAACATCCCAACATCAATCTAAAGGCAAACCCTGCTAAAATGTTGATAACAAAGAAATTTAAACATAAAGTAAAATTTTTGTGAACATGTGAAAAAAAAAACAAAAAACGAAAAGAAATTTACTCAATAAATGAATTTTTCGTATACACATTTTCCAAATTAATTTTCAAATATGCTGCCATCTAAGGCCAAATTATCGAATAGCTATCGTTTATCAATGCATTTGACTGTTCACACAGGCTGAAGTATGCACTGCCATGCTTGTCTCACACATTTAAATGCACTAATTACGATACGCATTGAATTTTTCAAATTTGTACCTACAATCGTGCGTAACGACATTCTCTTTCTTGCGTCAATTCAACATTGAACTGTAACAAGAAATATAGCTAGTGGTGGCACATATAAAAAAATCAAGGCTTGCAATTTCGCAATGAGCGAATTTTATTCAGCCCTGGTTGTATTTGGATAACCACTAATTCAAACTTAGTTGGCGTGCTTGCGCATAGGCTGCAATACGAAAAGCGAATGGAACAGCACATTTTAAGATTTGTATATTTTTACGCTTAAACTATCGTGAACTTTTATATTCGATAGTTCTTGGTGCTGTGCAGCCAACATTTTGCGATATGCGGTCACCCTCTTCAGTATGAAAGAAATTCTTATCGATTACCGGACCCATCGATGACCGCATTAATCGTCCCAAGGAAAAAGCATAAAAGCATAAATGTATTTACAGTTAACAAACAGAAACAACTATAACAGCAGCATAAGGTGCAGTGCCTTCAATTTAGCGCAACCAGAAGTGCCAATAAAAACAACAGCATTCTGTAAGCTGAACTAATAAAGAAATTCACTTTGATTTTAATTGCGCGCCCTGTAAACTTTAGGTTCCCATGCATTTATCTTCAAATGCAGAAGGAAACGTCGCGGTCTGTCGGCTTATAAGCATGTGCGTGTGTGTGTGTGTTCTGTGTTGTGTATGCGCTTGGCTGTGCGTTCGTGTGTGTGTTACACCTAACAAAAATTGTCATACTAACACTGCCATAGCGACGCTTAACAAATTGAATTAGAAGCTTCGCAGTGTAAACAATTGTGACGCACATAGAACTGGAAATATGTCCAGCTTTGTCTGTCTAATCCCCATTCAAAAACAGTACGAACAACACGTCTAGGCTCGTCCCGCCTGCTGCCTATTGGGCTATTTATAGACTGATTAGCATGCTCTGCTTTAGGAATTAATTGAAATTGGGGTGGCTGCTAGTGGGGGCGTCCGTTGCCGGGCGAGACGGCATCGACAGCCAAAAGGCATTACATCTGCAATATAGTGTAAGTGTATGTGTGTGGGTGTGTGTGTGTGTGTGTGTGCATTTCTATGCATAATTTATAATGAGCATGACGAACTACAGAAAACAACTGTTGCCCCGTCGTTGTTACTGTTCCGCAAAGAGAAAGAGTGCGACAGAAGGAGAGAGAGTGAGAGAGAGAGAGAGAGAGAGGGGCTGTGGGTGGTCAATTAGCTAACAACATTCAAGCTGTAACAGCGGGCGGCGCTGTCACGGGCACAGGCTGACCTTGGAGCAAGTGGCGACTTTGTGTGTCCGGTTTATATAAATGTACATCAATGTATTAAAAAAAAATCTCTAGTCTATACAAGGCTTCCGTTGCCCCGTCGAGCGATTGGACTTTGAGCCATTATTAAGTCCCAGAGCGTGTCGTGTCTCTCTAGCTGACTTGATAAGACGACGACAACGGTAATTGAATGAAATGCAATGCATAATATATATGTACATGCAATGTGCATAGGGAGAGTGACCAGCACATATGTGCACATAACCTCTTAAAAGGCACTATTAAACTGCTCTGGATATATATGTATATATACATATATTGGCGGGCCTTAAAGCGGGGCTGTTCGGGACAAGTTGGTGTCAATGCCCTATGCTTCGATTATGGCAATTGTTATTAAAATAGAAATTCCAAAATCCTAATTAAACCATATATATATAAATATATATTTAAAATTAATTTTGAATAGCCCTCTGGATCTATTCATAAATACAAGAGAAACGAATAGATTATAAGCTTGTACTAATTCGAGCAACGGCAAGTCCAGCTAAATATGAGCTGTTCGAACAGATGAAACGCGTTCGTCCCGTCCACTTGTACACAAATCAATTAGCCAGTTGGACAAGGAAAGGTAGACACCAGTTGATGAATATACCTATCAAATACCTATCAAATTCTGTCCAGCTAATCCGCAATCAACTCGACACCGTCGCTAGTTTGTCGCGACATGTTTGATAAGGCGAGCAATCAAAACAATCAGGCTATAAACATAAAAGAACAATGCAACTTGCTATCACTGGGCTATCATAAAGGGGATTGGGTTTGGCTTCTTTATCAGCGTCTACTGTCAATCACTCGAGCTATTATATTAATCAATTTATCAATGTATATCATATATGCATGGAGTAATCTTTAATAATAATGGCTGGTGATGCCCTTTCACAGTGTAGCGAGCGGGGGCCAGCTGAAGAGCGGGCTGTGGGAGCGGACGATGAACAATCTTGTGCAGGATATACAAAACAAATACTCATTTCTGGACAATCTATTCAGTCACGTATGGAAATGCATTATCCGATCGAATCTAAAGCTAAAGCTACAATTGCGCACTATTCAATGGAAGAATGCAAAAGCCAAGCCCGGCTGTGCCTACCAGCCCACAGAGGTAAGTAATATCATATACGCACATGTTATATACATAGTTATTAATATCAGCTCCTTTACAAAGATCGAGCAGGTGGCTAACGTGATAACTCATGGTATTTGGATAGTACCCGCCGTGTTTGCAGTCATAAAGCTCTTCGAGCGCTCGAACAGCTCTAGCCAGTATCTGGTGTCCTGGGTCTATGGCACCACGCTCTGTATGCTGTTCACAGTTTCCACATTCTTCCACTGTTCTTGTTACTGCGCCGAACACAAGTGAGTCTACAAAATGTAGTTGCATATGCTGGCTTGACTACAGCGTTATCTCTTTTTAGGCCCCCCAAAAACTATGATGCTTGGCCCGCATTTGGCTGGAAAACGTATCAGAGTCTCAAAAATGTTTTGCATCGATGCGATCGTGCCATGATTTATGTTTTTATTGCCGGCTCATATTTTCCCTGGCTGACGCTAGAGAATACGGACCATTCAGCGATACTGTTTTGCATGGAATGGATTATTTGGCTTATGGCGGCTATTGGGATAGCTTATCAACAGGTAAGTTTGTTGCTGTGCGTCTGCGTGTGCCTATCTCAGTCATCGTCATTTTAATTGATTGCAGCTTTACCACGAACGCTACAAATGCCTGGAGACATTCTTTTATATTGTAATGGGTCTGGGACCAGCGCTAGTTGTAATGCTTACCGGACACCATTTTAATGGCATGATGCAGCTCAAATTTGGCGGTGCCTTCTATATATTGGGCATTATCTTTTTTAAGTCAGATGGTTTGATTCCCATGGCTCACGCCATTTGGCATCTCTTTGTGGTGCTCGCCGCCGGCTGTCATTATTATGCGATTTTAGTAAACCTATATCCAAATGACTCCAATCATTTACAAACTAGTAGCTAAGTATAGCCCAAGTCGTCGCGAAGCTTATGGCTGTAAGAACATTATCGTTTAACGTACTTAACTGAGCCACGGATTCATCAATAGATAATTGTGACCCACAGAAATTTAAGTTAGTGATTTTAAGTTTTCAGTGTTTTGATTTTTTATTGTTAAATTTTGAGCCAGCCAGAATGTATTCCTTCCTACCTACCACCCATATATATAACTGCTCCAGAATTAGCCAAATTTTGTACAAAGTATATAGATTTATTTATTTTTATGTTTTACTTGACTTCATCAAACGGATTTATGTACGATAGTTATAGTTGTAGAATATTAGAAAATTTGTTAGAATAAGGCAACGGATTCTTAAGATAATCGATAAAAGGAAACGTTTCTTGTGATCAATATCTGCGGTCTTGCCAACGATTCAAACAGAATGTATGAATTCTCAATTCTCAATTCGCCTATACCATGGGCGGTGTGTAGTGCGTTCCTTGTTTTAGGTAGACCAAGCAGGTATATACATATATATTTTCTGTAACCAATATAGAATATTTTATAATACGATACGCTATACTAACGTATGACAAGCTCACAGTAGGCAAAGTGTTTCTTAAAGACTAAAAAATTGTACAAAATCGAATAGTAGAGCATGTCGATTAAATTCAACGCCTTTCAAATTACTGGAAGCCCGCCTAAAATAACATATACACGCATAGGTATATGTATGAATATGTATGTAAACATATATATGATTAGTTATAAGAAAAAAGCTAATCACGAACCAATGTTTGATGTGTTGGTGTTGGTCTGTTATTTAGCGTGTTACGTGTGCTATTGCTCAGGGATTACTTACATGGTGCGGTCAGTCGTGATGTATAATGTATTATGTACGTGTTAGCAATGGATTGGTTCGTGATTATTGCACTTAACTTGTATACAATTGTTTTTGGATGCTATGCGAATTTCGAAATGGATTATACAATGAATTATTGCTAAGCAGAACTTATACAATGTAAGAGTATGAAATGAATTATACATTCATAAAATTACTTAAAAACATATACCATCTATACAAATGCTATATATATACATATATGTATAAATGAATACCTATGAATCTATACAATAAATTACATATACCAGGTACTCAGGTCTATTAGCTCTTAATAACTATCTTAAACTCATACAAAGATTAATATTTTCAAAAAGTTCTGCAAATAATTATACTATGTCGTGGGAAATAAGGTACACATTCAAAAAGTGCGCTATAGGCGAGAATAAATTTGCAGTGCTGTAAAGTGCGCATTTCTAAAAGCCTGCGAACGCCGAAACTATCGTACGGCTACTATCGATAAGAAAAAAGTATTGGAATTGAGCAGCAATAATATCTTGATGTAACTGCTTGCCAAATGTAATACTTCACTAACATTACATTTTAACAAACTTCTATCGAAACAGAGTTTTGAGAGATGAAAAACTGTTTTCAACAAACATTTTTAATTCCGCTCATAGCCAATGAAAATTGTGCCAAAATCGTAATTTGGTAAAACATCAAAACTGGCTCCCACTATCGATATATTGATATGTTATTACCACTCTTGAAAGCAAATGAACAGTTTTATTTAATGGACAAGGAGAGGAAAGCATATGATGTGCTTCTACAAACAATAAACAGTCGAGCGCGCTGCTCTTCTTCAGCGGAGCAAGGACTTTACCAGCGGCAACTGCAGTTCCTGCGCGACATTGAAATACAGACGCCTGCAGGACCATATGGCGCAAACACAGCGGCCCAGCTTGCACATCTGCTGACAGAGGAGACGCTGGTAAGTGGTGGGCTTGGCGATGACTCATTGAACCTGAGCGCATGGCTGCTCTGGCTAAACGAGCTGCTCTTGAGCCGAAAACAGCAGCTTGGCGAGACGCAGCCGATGCTCGAGTGGCTTTTGCAGCGTGTGGAACACAAATGCGCGGTTGATGCACTGCGCTGCCTGCTCTCGCTGCTGGAGTCGCTGCCAGTGGGTACAGCGTCCACGTACTTTTCACGCTTGGTAGCTATTCAGATGCCGTCCAGCGTGGAGGCAGCGCTGCTGTTGGTGCTGTGCCAGGATAAGCTGTTCAGCACGTTGTGTACCCCAAATGCGGAACTGCAGGTGCAGGAATTGCAGCAGAGCAGCCAGTTGGCTAACTCGTTGCTGCAAATGCACTACGATGGGCGCTGGACAAGGATGACAGCCGCCGAAACGAGGCAGCAGGAGGAGCAGTTAACGATGCTGGTGGCGCACTCGCTGCAGCTGCTGCAAAAGATTTCGGCGCAGCATGCGGACTATGCTCAGCAGCATGCGCCAGAGCTGCTCGGCATGGCTCTAGCGAATGTGCGATGCAGAACCGATGGAGAAACGGTGAAAGCAATATACCAATTGCCACATCGGGTGCATCCTGCCCAACAATCAGCAGTCTATGGGCAGGACGATGAGGATTTGTCAATTGGCAGCAATCAAAACACAGCTGCAGCCGGAAGACGCGTCAAGTCCCGCAAGATGCGCTCACTGACCAAGCAGCGAAACAATGGCAATATACAGGAAAGCACTGGCACAGCTGGCCACGGCGATCGGATGCATCTGCTGCTGCTGGGCAACAACGACTACGGCTGTCGAACACCGAGTGGCGGTGACTCTGAGGGCGGCTGCACTCCCACTTCGGACGGCGCTGGGCAACAGTTGGCGGGACAAAAGCAGCAGCGCCAATGCCTAGTTAAGGTACGCGTCGCAGCCCTTCAACTGTTGGGCGCAGTCACCAAACAACTGCCTCGGCGCACTCTCTATGGCTACTGGCATGTGCTCTTTCCCAGCGGAAGCGGAGGTGCTGCTGCTGGCGGACGCGAGACAAAGGATCACTTGCTGTATATTGGCGCCAATGATGGCAATGTGCGTTGCCGAGCCCTGGCGCTCCAGTTAGCTGCTCAGCTGCTGTACGGCTCCAAGCCATATCTAAGCCAAGCGAGCTGCGCTTTGGCGCCAAGCAACTACACACCATTTGCAATGAGCCTGGCCAGCAGCGTGCTGGAAGCGTATCGTCAACTGACGGGCATACTAGAGCGCGAGTATGCGCCGCCGGTGCTGACGCAGTGCCTTAAGTGTCTGGCGGTGCTGGTGCAGGCGACGCCTTTCGAGCAACTGCAAATGGGCATCGTCTATGAGTTTGTGCCGCATGTGAAAATGTTAACGCGGCATGTGGACACCAGCGTAAAGGTGTCTGCGCTGCTGGTCATGGAAATGCTGGTGGCAACGCCACGCCTTACACGGGAGATGGCCTGTGCCGTGGGTCTTCCGCCAAACGAACGTCGGGCTGTCAACATGGTTCATGCGTCGCCGCGCCTCAATGCCCACCAGGATCCGGAGCAACAATTCCAACAGCTCTGTGACTCCGAAGAGGAGGAGGGAGAGGAGACGGAGGCGATGTCGGAAGCGGCGGCGGTCCCATCAGCAGAGCAAGAGGTGCTGCCACCCTCCATTGTGTTGCCTTGGAATCGCATTCCGCGCAACTCGTGGCTGTTGCGTTTGGTCCTGCGCTATCTGGACTGCCCGGCGAGCGCGGCGCCGCTGCGTGTCGAGTGCCTTCAGGTGCTCCTGGCCATGGCCACGCATTTTGGGCTCTTACGCGAACATCTGGGGCGCCTAGCTGATGTGCTTTGCAGCGCCTTGCAGGATTCCTCGTGGGATGTACGCTTGTATGGAGCACGCTGCCTCGACGCGATCGGCTTCCAGATGACTCGTCATGCAATGGAGCAATCAGACCCCAGACCCGAGCTGCAGCAGCAGCATTTGAATTTCTGGCTACGCATGCTGCCTGCCATTTATGGCGCCTACACGGATGCAGGGGAGGCGACGTTGCGCAGCTCGCTATGCGATGCACTTTCCAACATGGGCGGCAACAGTTTCGAACGCTTGCCGCAGGCACAGCGCACCGGTCTGCTGGCGTTTCTTTTGGGCTGCAGCAGCGACGACGCCGCGGATCATCTGGTGCGAGCAGCGGCCGTGCGAGCGCTCGCAGTTTATGTGCTGCATCCCACGCTGCGGGACGATCTAGTATTTGTGGAGCATGCAGCTGAGCTGGCGCTGCGTCTCATCGGCGACAGTCAACTGGCTGTGCGGATCAAGGCCGCGTGGGCGTTGGGCAATATCAGTGATGCCCTTGTGGCGCCCATCCATGCAGTTTCGGATCCGGAACGACAGGAGACGCAAGAGAAGGAGCGCATTTCGCAGGCTCTGCTCGGACGACTGATCGAAGCCGCTGTCGGGGCGTGCGGGGACCATGACAAGGTACGCGCCAATGGAGTCCGCGCTCTAGGCAATTTGCTGCGTCTGCTGCCTGGCGATGAGCATGCACTAATGCAGCGGGGGATGACCAAGCTGCTCGACTGTGTGCGCGCCGCGGGCAGCGCCAAAGTCAAATGGAACGCCTGCTATGCCATTGGGAATTTGGTGCGCAATCGTGCAGTATTCTCGACTAGCGCCAGCTTGGCGGGCACACTTTTTGCGGCACTCAGTCAGCTGATTGTGCAGCACTCGAACTTCAAGGTGCGCATCAATGCTACCGCCGTTCTGCTGCAGATCGAGCAGCGCGCAGACATCGGTGTCCACTATGCAACCATGTGGCGCTCACTGCTGGCGGCCATCGAACGCTCCAATGCTCTGGACACTTTCGAGGAGTACAACCATCGTGACGGACTGCAGCAGCAGCTCTGCCTGGCCCTGGCACATATGCTGGGGCGTGCGCGTCCCGATGATCTGTTGTCCTGCCGTGACGCACTTGAAACACACCTGGATGTAGTCAGCGGCACCTGGCGTCGTGTTGCATATCGCATTGTCCCCGAGCAGGCGGCACCGCTGTTCACATGCGGTTCCTTGCTGCAGCAACGCCTTGGTGCCCATTCGCTCACCGCCGAGCAGCGAAGCGCACTCACATTCCTCGCCGGTGCACTGCGTCTGGAGAGTTAACCTTGCTGCCAACAAGGTGTGTTGCAAGCTAATGCTGTTTTATAACATTTATAACACAATAGTTCAGCTGATTGAACGACTTTCGTCTTTTTTATTGCTCAAATTCCGATTGAGCCTCGCTAATTCTAGTACGTGTGTACATTTGGTCAAATCCTGGAAATCCTTGAGTGTCAGTCGATAGTCTGCTTCTGCTTTTTCAGATCCTCCAGGATATGACCGAGATCTGATTAAATTACGAATGTGTTTTTTAAGAAGCAGGATTATCGATTAGCATTTAAGGATTTCTAGGGGTAATTCGGAAAATTTAGCCAAAAACCACAAAATCCGGATTTACTTGGCCATTTTCAGGACTATGGGGATGCCCTTTGGCCAACAGAATATACTTGTGACTCTGATTCGGAATATACTTAAAAAGGACGAAAGTCCTTCAAACAGCTGACAAAATGTGTTAACTTTGCATATAGAAATACCTCGATTCTTATATTACCCCATATTATTTAAATGTAGTTCGATGCAGTTGGTCCCTACGATTCTAACACACCAAGTCCTTTGAAAATCTGCTAGGATTTGGCCGAGTTATGACGGTTTTTCTGAAAAGGACACTCGTTTTTTAGTCATATCTCCGCCATATCCTTTGGCATCTCGGAGGGTCACACCTTTTTGAACTCGCAGGAAGCAGGACAAGCGATTAGCATTCAAGGAATTCCAGGATTCGACAAAAAATTTCACCGAAAAATTGTTAAGGGGGTTAGTCGCAAAATCGTCACAGGCCAGGCTAACTTTGCCATTTGAGGGACTATCGGGATGTCCTTCGGCCAGCAGTTAGTCCTCACTCTCACATTTAAGTATTTACAACCCAAAGGACGAAAGTCCTTCAGACAAGAGAGTTTTAAGGATACTTTAGTCTACAGAAAATAGGCCACAACTCTGTCATATCCTTGCGTATCCTTACGAGTCATGTCTCAAAAAAATTGTATTGACCAGGACTACCTACTGGCAAAATTGCATTAGAATCGTCCTCGTAGTTTTTGAGATATTATTAATTATGTGTATTTAGCCCATTTCCGTGCGTTTCGCGAACGAAATTTTACAAGTCAAATTACAAGTCATATGATTCTTAGATGACCCTATATTTTTTTGATGCACATCGATGCAGTGGGTCTATAGCATCCTAACGCACCAAGTCCTTTCAAAATCTGCAAGGATATGATCGAAATATGACTTATTTTCATTACATTGTATATTTTGGCTTTATTAAATTCAAATGTGTTTTTATTTTTTCAGGCTAACCAATCAAGGACTGCAATAAATCCCAAGGACCTCTACGAGTTACAAGCAACCAGGATCGACCTTTAATTAAGCCATTTTAAGCCCAAATAAGCTACATTTATAAAATATCCTTGTTTTGCATAATTTTGAAGGAAAATAACATTAAACATAAACAATTTTGTAAAATAAAGCATAATAAATCAGCATATAAAACGAATTAACAATGTCTTTTTTTTTTTTTTAAGTCACATTCAAGCCCCGAGATTTTTCTAAAAATCTGCTGAAATACCAGGCGAACAGAAATGGCCAGAAGGTCGCCAAAACATTTTTTGGTTGACGAAAAATTGCATTGCATACCCGAAAGGGGCGCCGTTGTCGGCGGCTGGGTCCCCAATTTGCACTAAAATTTGACTGAAATACCAGGCGAACAGAAATGATCAGAAGGTCGACCAGATCGAATAAAAATTTTCATTGCATACCCGCACGGGGCAAAATGTAACTCATTTCAAATGAGTGCTGTTAAGTAACAGGCCATGTAAAAGGAGTGCTGTAAAGTCGGCTGTTAAGCGGCAGCTAATGTACAAGGGCTGCTGAAAGAAAAACATACATATTTTTGGACCATTTCAATGCACATTATGCAGGCTTCTGATCCTTTAGGTTCACAAGGACTATATCGATGGTATGGTATAACCAAGGATATGATAGTCAACTAGGAACCATCCAGGGGACGGGGCTTTTGCTGGGGTTGCTAGCCGGCTGTAAAAAAGTAGCATACATATTTTGGAGCTATTTCATGCGCATTTTGCAAGAAATTGGTCCTTTTGGGTTCGCTAGGACTATATTCATGGTATGGAATAACCAAGGATATATAGGTCATCTAGGTACCAACAATAGCGATTCTTTGTCGATCCATCCATGGGCGTGGCAGATTAGGCTGAAAATATATAATGAAATATGCATTAGTTTTTGTAGACTAAAATAAATCAGTTAAGTCATTAAGTTATTCAATTTTGGAACGACATACTATTTAAGATCCTTGAAAATTTGTTGATTTAAGAACCAATCCAGAATTCGGCAAAAAGTTTCAATATTTTTTAATATCTATCTATTGTATGAAATAACCAAGAACATATTGGTCATCCAGGTCCCAATAATACTGTTTATTTTCCAGTCCATGTGCATGGCAGATGCGGCTGAAAGACACAGAATGAAAAATGAATTAGTTATTGTACATTCAAATATATCGGTTAAAAGACGTCCCAGTTTGGGAAACTATACCTTTTAGGATTGGAAAATCCTTTAAAGTTGACAAAACTCTACCGCCGCCCAGATGGACAACAACTTTAATGTAACAATTGCCATTCTGATCAAAATTTAGAATAAGGTTTTGTTATACGTGTATCCATGGTGCGCCACAGACAAGGTCTGCTAGGTACCAACGATACTGACTATTTTCTCCTCCATGGCAGTTTTGGCTGAAAAAGTCAATTTACAAAATTATGAATTAGTATTTTGTATGCTTTGCATGGCTCTATATCGGTTTCAACTCCGGGAGGATATCCCTTTTCGAATTCCTAAGTCTTTAAAATCGATCGAACATTTTAGGTCAAACTTTGCTCCTATATACTTACGTATATATTATCTGTAATGGCATACGAGTTTGAAAACGTACGCCATTACAGATACGGACGGTATTAATTAAGAATTAACACTTTTAACATGTTTAATGAGCTTCACACGACTGAAGACTTTCAACTAAAACAGAATTATGTTGCGCGGGCGTAAACTGCTCAAAAATCGGCGCACAGCAAATTGAGCAAGCAACCCATAAACTTGAGTGAGCGCCATTCAAAGGTAGATAACGCATAGGCAGGCACACACAAGCGGACCAAAAAAAAAAAAACGGGCGCTCAGAAGAGAACTTCAATGCAAGCAATTATTGGTCGTGAGTGCAATAGGCATAGGTAGATAATGGTAAGCGAACACTCACACAAACGGATGACTGCTTGGTTATCTCTGGATTTGGTGCGTCTCTATGTGGGTGTGGGAGTGTATGCAGGTAAATGTCACTCTTCACACTTCACACTCTCACTCGAATTTTGATCGTTCGCTTATTTGCTGTGCTCCGGGTTTTTTTCGTTCGATTCAGGCACTCGTAATTTAACACTCTGTTAGTTTGATCTCAGTAGTCATTGTGAACGCCTTTTCGGTTTTAATTAGAAGCTCCTGGTCCGGGGAGTCTGAAAGGGTATATTTCATGAGCGCCCACCAAGTAGCTTATTTGATAGTTGCCTTCTAAGAAATTTCTTTAAGCAAAAATGTAACTAAATTAAAAGAAATCTTGGCCTTAAATGCGATGAAAGGCAGTCGCACTAGTACAGCAGATTTTTATGCCTTTGTATTTTCGTACCTAAGAGGCGAAAGTATTGACGAATGTTCAACGGAACCAAAACAAAAGGAGAGTTACAGTTATTGTGGCCGGCACAATTGCGCATATACAAACATACATATTTTTTATACCCTGAACCCATTAAAAATGGGTATAAGGGTATATTGTATTTGTGCAAAATCCAAATGTGTGTTACAGGCAGAAGGAAGCATCTCCGACCCCATAAAGTATATATATTCTTAATCAGCATCAATAGCCGAGTCGATCTAGCCATATCCGTCTGTCTGTCCGTCCGTCCGCCCGCCCGTCCGTCCGTATGTGTGAACGCAAGGATCTCAGAACCTATAAGAGCTAGAGACTTGAAATTTTAGATGTAGGTGCTTCTAGTGCCTACGCAGATCGAATTTGTTTCCGATAATCGATAAATTACTCCGTTTCCAAGCAATCGATAAAAATCGATATCGATATCCAGTTTTTTGGGCAATTTTGGTAAATAGTAAGAGCTAGAGTCACGAAACATGATACGTTGCTTATAAAACAGAATATATATATCCATTTGATGTTTGAAGAAGAGGGTTCAGGGTATCCCCTAGTCGGGAGCTCCCGACTAGAACCTCTTTCTTGTTTTATTTTCACTTTGTCTAACACCAACAACATATGTATGTATGTGTATGCTAATACATACACAAATGCACAATTGTTTCCCGGCGCACAGAAATTCGAGCAGGCAAATGATCTTAAGATAAGTTTACCTTTGGAGCAATTGGCAAAGGTAGATAATGCATGCGCAACCACACAACACATGCACAAGTAGATATGACTCAAGAAATCACACACACCCAAACATACCTGTACATATGTAGAGAAGTTCACCAAATTTATGCATACATATTTATGTTTGTATGAATGTGTATAATTCTGCTTGTGAATTATCTTCTTTTTCATCGCGCTCTCACGAACATTTTGCGAAAGAACAGATAATTATTATTTTCCTTTATGTTGGTCCGATATTTAAAAGACGTACTTTTTTGGATAGGCGAGTCTTTTAAAACGACCAAACTCTTTAAATTTTGATTCCATGCACTCGAATAAGAATTTACGAATCCGACAACGTATACCATTAGAGACACTTACGGAATTTACAAGACAGTTTCCACTTACAAAATTTTACCTCAGCCTGCAGACACGACTGCAGACGTTCAACTAAAAGAGAATTCGGCGCATGCAAAACACAAACTAGAATGAGCGCTATTCAAAGGTAGATAACGCATAGTCGCATACACACGCACACAAGCATAGGCGCCAACATGAACGTAATATGTATGTATGTGTATGTGTATGCGTGCTAGTGCATTATCTACTTATGCATCACATCCACACGAACTTTTTCTGCTAACAGGCCCGGGCAAGTCTTGCGTTGTTTTCTGTGCACCTTTGCGCTCACGCAAATGAGATCTATGCGTGTATGTATGTGTGTCACTTTGACCGCAGTAATCAATTGCACATTAATATTTAAATATTTTATGTATGTATATGTACACATACATTTTAGTCTGTGCGAGTCAAAAAACTTACTTGAACTTACCAAAACAATAATAGGTTTAATAGAAATTGAATGTAACTCGCAGCATAACATCATGCCATATTGACTAAAGAGGCCACACTAACACAGAATGAAGTTGTGCAGATCCAGCGCTCAGAAATTGGAGCACGCCAATGCCCAGAAGAGAGAGCAATTGTGAATTGGGCCAATGAGCGATCAGCACAAAAAAAAAAAAAAAATCGTGAGTGCATGAGAATTAAGTAGATAACGGCAAGCGAACACACGCACAACAGGCGACTGACTGCTTGGTTATCTCTTTATCGCATCTCTGCGCATACACGTGTTTGTGTCGGTGTGTGTATGCAGGTCATGCTCTCACTCAAATTATGATCGCTTGCCTATTTGCTGTGCGCCGGTTTTTTCGTCCGATTAAGTCACTCACAATTTAACACTATTGCACAAGCGTCTGAGATAATTTTATAGTATTTTTATTTAACGCATATGTTTGTATACATTTATTATGTATATGAACATAAATATGATTCTTGACACAAAAATGATATTCTACTTGTTCTAGTTGTTGATTTATAGTGCGTAAGCTTAAACTAGCCTGATTGTTGTTGTTATTAGATCTAAACATCAGCACCAAGAGCTGCCAAATGGATGTTGATGCCAGCGTTTTGTTAAGTTTTTGCTAGTGCCTTCAAAATGGTCTATTCTCTAACATACATATACATACGAATATATATATATATATATAAATATATGTATATGTATATATATATATATATATATATAGGTATAAGGTAGTATGCATACATGGTTGACTTGCATTAAAAAAATATAAAAAGATGCACAGGTTATTAAATTAAAATGGCAGGCTAATGATAAAAAAAACAAGGGAAAATTAAACAATAAGTAAAATGATAAGCGCTCGCCGCTGTCAATTAAAATAACATTGCATATGCCTCCAGCATGAATTTTATATTCTGTGTGCCTTCATGTCGACCCGGATGCGCATCGACTGTTGCGGCATATCAGAATGAAAACTCAACCCCCCATCCCCCTGGCCCACTCACAAATTCTATATCCCCGCCCCAGGTTCCTGTCTTGGTTTTTGTCTACTTTCGTTCGTTTTTGGGATCATCCAAGCCAGCCTTTATTTGACTGAGGCGTGAGGGCAGCTCAAGCATTTGCCGCTTAGTCTCAATGGAATTAGGACCGTCATCATCTGTAAAGTCCAAGACACGCTTGCCGGAACCAAGCACTATTTTGTTCATGTCGTCCAGTTTCTGTCGCGAGAGAGGATGTTAAGAAAAGTTTGAGTTTGGTCCTGTCATATTGTTCCTGCAACCGCTTACCTTGGCCGGACTGGCGCTGATTATGTAGACAACCTGGTCTGGCGACTGTTGTATCTCATTCTTGGACATTTGTGTTACATAGAGCGAGTGGTTATGTATTAGCTTCTTAGGCAGCATTGTGCGTTCGATGGGATGTGGCGACATCAGTAGATTTACATTCTATTTTGAGAAAACAACGATTTCAGGCATATCGAGTAATATGGTTTAATTTGGCTACTCACGTCCGCACTCTCATCAAGATAATTAATGCAGAATTTCGTCATCTCGGGTACATACGTATAATTGTAAAAGTGTATAATATCTTTGTACTTGCGTTCACCCTCATTGACGCTAATGAGCACCTCGCGATAGACACTATTAACCGCCTGCGGCTGGTTGCGATAGGCCCGCATAATGTCACTAAATTTGGTTTCCTCCATTTTCGTTACCTGAAATATATACAAGCAAAATGAAGAAAACTGAAGCATGGATATGAGGAGAGGCGCAACATCCACCTATCTATACATACTATTTGCCCAGCTCATATGAACAACGTGTTAAGGTATGGATTGTTGCAAGATCAAATTTGCTTATAAAGGCAAAAAGCCTTTCAGTTTAAGCAGATTATAATCCGAATTATTCATAATATTCTATTGAAGCTAAATGTATAGATGTTAAAATATGTATCCTGTTATTGTCATACTTACTCTAATATAAATATATATTGCACACATTATAATTTGGTCGAGATGGCGATCTTGCATTAGATGAGTCTTGTGTGTTATCGAATGCTCGAATATGGTCCAGATCTTTTCAGGCTTCTTCTCCCCCAGCTTTAGTTCCGAGCACAGTTTCCCAATACGCAGCCAGCCAAGCAGATATACCTTGCGCAGAAATATCTGCAGTGGCCCAGCGGCTCTGTCTTCATTCACTTCAGTGCAGGTGGGCAGCGGCTTGCCCGTATTGCCAATCATCTCCCAGACTGGGGAGATGAGTTGCCAGGCCAGGCGCTCTAGGCACGTCTCCTCAATGGAATTGAGATGCTTTACCAAGCTGCGTGTCAGGCAGCCCTCGCGACTGCCATGGCGTACAACAATTTCAATGATCTTGTGAAATTCGAATGCATTAATACTGAAACAATCCAGAATCCAGGGGAACTTGAGCTCCGTGATGTAGGCCTCAAGCACCAGTTCTAAGCAGCAGGCCATCAGCGTCTCGTTGAAGATGTCCAATGAGATCTTGTGTACAATCTGCGGCTTGTTCTTAATCTCGGCCCGGAGTATGTGATCCATAAGATAGTAGTAAAGTGATTTTGCCATACGGAATCTATTCTCAGCCTCGCTGCGGATTGGATACTTGGCGAGAAACTTTAGTTCCATTTGCTCGATAGTTTTCATCATTTTCGCAAGTGCTGCTTCGCCAGCCTGTCTGCAATGTAAATCTTGTTGTAAAAACTGTTATTGCGACCAACTGTTTTGGGCAACTTACTTTACAAAATCGGTGGGCTCGGTTATACGACTGATGGAGGCGCTCAACTTTTTCACATTGTTGGTGGCATTGGCCACTGGCTCGGACATAACAGGCTGGGCGGGTAACTCCTGTTTGCGTGTCAGGGGCGTAACTGGCTGACGCAGGGCCTGCTCGTTTAGATTGCTGTGATCGCTGGCGTCCAGCTGGTAGGCAGCCAATACGCGCTCATCAAACTCACCCACACTCAGCACATACTGCTCATAACTTAAGTTCAGAGATTTCAGATTTCGCTCAAAGTTGTTATTGGCTACCAGGCCGAGCAGCGTATCCTCATTACCTACGATTGTCTGCAATGCATAATAAATTGTTAGCCATATTTGGGAATATTGCTGATTGGCAGCTGCGTTACGTTCGTCTGAAAGAAGCTGTGAATAATCTCGATGAAGCCCTTCGCCTTTATTTCTTTGGCATCGGCCTTCATGTCGCAGAAGAAGTCAAGTATGCAATGTTTGCGGGCTTGGGTCTCGTCAAAGTCCGGCGTGTTCCAATTCGGCGGCAGACCCTTAAAGTTCGGGTTGATGAGATCAGTGCGTTTCTCGGCCAGCACATTGGCGTAGATGAGATCAAGACAGCATATCATTAGATTGAACGTTGTGACCAGATCAAGGGTCCTCGTTGGCTTCTGATTCTTGGCGCATAGAAACAGACGCCAGGATATATTATCCAGCTTAGAGTAGGTGCATTTCGGGCTAAAATAGACAGAAAGGCATGACTAAAGACGCTAGCTACTGGCATTAGAAGAATTTTTGCACAGCACACACCTGTTTCTCGAATGTTTCTTCTCGTTGGGCGGACAGATAAACAATTGCTCGAAAATATTTCTGTATCGCTTGTAGATTGTGAATGTGATGCTAAACTTGCGCTCCAGCTCCTCCATTTGCTGTACAAATACTTGCGGCAAATTGGCCATGTCGCACCATAGTTTGATCTTTTGCTTAAACTCGTAGATGCTAAAAGACAAGGGAGTTCAGTGAGTGGTGGACTGGTGGACTGGTGGCTGGTGGAGTGTGGTTATGCCACACATCATTTCCATTACGCACCTCATATGACAGCTGCGTAGCAAATTGTTCAATGGCACACAATTGCCCATAACGACTGCATCCTGGCCACCCACAGTGGGCGTTGTCGATTGACGACAGGCCGCGAACAGAGCGCAGCAGAACCAGTGCATGTTATCCCCCTGCAACGCAAACAATAATATATATATATATATATATATATATATACATAAGTATACAAATGCAATTCGTGTTAGTGTACTGCGTTATGCGCTTATACATATGTACATACTTATGCACATGCACACATATGTATGTAGTTATGCACGTTACGTACGCACCTCCAATGAACAATGCTCCTGCACTTCGTTGAGCATCCTAAAGGCCTCGACTTCGGTTTGACGATCCATATTTAGATCACGGCACAGATTCTCAAATTTACAGCGCATCGTCTCCAGGCCATCGTCAACTGGAGCGCCGGCGCTGGTCACCACCTCAGCGCCGACCTCCTGCTCTTGCACATCGTTGCTCATGTTGCCGCCTTCGACTTTAGCTTAAACGCAACTGCAGCTGCAAATGCAAATTTTTCACTATTCTTTTTTGGCTAGAACTAAACGTTGCTGCTGACGGCAGCAGCAGCAGCGGGCGCGGCCGCGGGTTCCACTCGGCAAATGAGCGCGCGACTGCAGCAACAACAACAAAGGCGGAACGTCGACGACTAAACTTTTTAATTTTTCGCAGCGCAGCGGGCGCATTGAATTTGTTAGATTTTTCGTGGCACGGTGA